GCCTGTATTTCCTTCTCTTGCCTAATTATATTGGCTAGAACTTCCAGCCCTATGTTGAATAGTAGTGGTGATAGAGGACAACCTTGTCTGGTTCTAGTTCTAAGTGGAAAAACTTTCGGTTTTACTCCATTCAGTAAAATATTAGCTGTGGATTTGCCATAGATACCTTTGATCAGTTTAAGAAATGTGCCACCTATACCTATACTCTTCAGTGTTCTATTAGAAAATATGCTGGATTTTATCAAATGCTTTTTCTGCATCTATTGAAAGGATCATATAGTCTTTGTTTTTGCTTCTGTTGAGATGGAGAATAATGTTTATGGACTTGCATATGTTAAACCAGCCTTGTATCCCTGGGATGAAACCTATTTAATCATGATGTATGACTTTTTTGATGATAAACTATAATCTATTGGCTAGGATTTTGTTGAGAATTTTTGCATCTATATTCATTAGTGAAATTGGTTTGAAGTTCTTTTTAGTTGGGTCTTTTTCTGATTTTGGTATCAGGGTGATGCTTGCTTCATGGAATGTGTTGGGGAAGATTCCTTCCTCCTCAATTTTTTGGGAATACTTTCTGCAGTATGGGAATAAACTCTTCTTTAAAGGTTTGATAGAATTTTGGTGAGAAGCCATGTGGACCAGGGTAGTTTTTTTGGGGGGGGAGAATTTCTATTGTTTCTTTGATCTCTGTGCTTGAATTTGGTTTGTTCAGGATATTTGTTTCTTCCTGGCTAAGTCTAGGGAGAAAGTGTGATTCCAAATACTCATACATTTCCTTCACGTTGTCAAATTTCTGGGCCTAGAGTTTCTGGTAGTATTCAGAGATAATCTCTTGTATCTCTGTGGCATCTGTTGTTATTTCCCCTTTGTCATTTCTGATTGGGGTTACTAGAGATTTTACTTTTCTGTTTCTAGCTAGTCTGGCCACAGGTTTATCTATTTTATTTATTTTTTTAAAAAACCAACTCCTTTTTTCATTAATTTTCTGAATGATTCTTTTGTTTTCAATTTCATTAATCTCTGATTTAATTTTGGATATTTCTTTTCTTCTGTTGGGTTTAGGCTTAGATTGTTCTTCTATTTCCAATTCCATAAGTTGGCTTGTGAGTTTGTTACTGCACTCTTTCTGTTTTTCAGATGTAGGCACCTTAGGCAATAAATTTTCCTCTCAGGACTGCTTTTACTGTATCCCACAGGTTTTGGTAGCTTGTGTCTTCCTTGTTGTTATGCTCAAGGAAGTCAATGATTTTCTCTTTTATTTCTTCCTGCATCCAACTGTCATTCAGCATAAGGTTGTTTAATTTCCATGCTCTTGTGTGGGGTTGAACGTTTTTTGAGTTGAGTTCCACCTTTAATGCCATGTGATCTGAGAAGCTACAGGGTAAAATTTCAGTTCTTTTGATTCTGTAGAGCTTTGTTTTGTATCCTAGATTATGATCTATTTTGGAGACTGTTCCATGAGCTGATGAGAAGAATGTATATTCTTTAGCTTTGGGATGGAGTGTTCTATATATGTTTATCAAGTGCAATTGTTCTAGGGGCTTGTTTAAGTCCCTTATATCTTTGTTTAATTTCTGTTGAGAGGATCTATCCAGCTCTGTAAGAGGAGTGTTAAAGTCCCCTGTTATTATGGTGTTATAGGATATCATATTGCTCAGACTAATTAAGGTCTGTTTCAAGAATCTGGGAGCAGCGCCTGTGGCTCAAAGGAGTAGGGCGCCAGCTCCATATGCTGGAGGTGGCAGGTTCAAACCCAGCTCCAGCCAAAAACTGCAAAAAAAAAAAAAAAAAAAAAGAATCTGGGAGCATTCAAGTTGGGTACCTAAATATTTAGAATTGAATTGTCTTCTTGTTGTATTTTTCCCTTGACCAATGAAGTGTCCATCTTTGTCTTTTTTGACTTTAGTTGCTTTAAATCCACTTGTATCTGAAAATCAGATTGCAACCCCTCTTTTCTTCTGAATTCCATTTGCCTGAAAAATTGTCTTCCAACCCTTAGCTCTGAGTTTTAATTTGTCTTTTGAGGCAAGACAGCAGATGGATGGCTTGTGTTTTTTAATCCGTTCAGCCAGTCTATGCCTCTTCAATGGGGAATTCAAGCCAATAACATTTATTGAGATAATTGATAAGTGTGGTAGCATTCTGTTCATCTTATTTTGTGAAAGTCCATTGCTTAGTTTTAATTTTTGCATCTTCGTGGAAGCTAGGTTCTGTCCATTAATTTCTGGGTGCTTACTTTGCTGGTGGTTCATCATGATGGTCAATGTGTAGAACAGGTTGAAGTATTTCTTGTACAGTTGTTCTTATGGCAAATTTCCTCAATGTTTGCATATCAGTAAAAGATTTGATTTCTCTGCCATTTTTAAAGCTTAGCTTAACAGCATATAGAATTCTGGGCTGGACCAATGTCTTCTGGCTTGAAAAGTTTCATTAGAGAAGTCTGCAGTCACCCTGATGGATTTGTTCCTGTAGGTCAAATGGCACTTACTTCTGGCAGCTTGCAAATCTTTTCTTTTGTCTTGACTTTGCACAGGTTCATCATAATGTGTCTAGGAGAAGCTCTATTTGAGTTGAGGTGACCTGGGATCCAATATCCCCCTGAAAGGAATGTGTCAGAATCTTTGGTTGGTGATATTTGGGGAAATTTCATTTATAATATTCTCTAGCATGGCTTCCATTCCTCTGAGGCATTCTTCTTCCCCTTCTGGGATACCTATAACTCATATGTTTGAATGCTTCATAAAGTCCCATAATTCTGTTAGTGAATGTTCAGCTTTCTCTCTCTCTTTTTAGGCCTCTTTCACTATCTGAGTTACCTGAAGAGCTTTGTCCTCTACCTCTGAGATTCTTTCTTCTGTATGGTCTAATCTGTTGTTGATACTTTCTATTGCATCTTTAAGTTCCCTAATGGACTGCTTCAATTCCTTCAGCTCTGCTATATCCTTTCTATATTCTTCATATCATTCATCTCTTATTTGATTCTGTTTTTGGATTTCCTTTTGGTTATTTTCCACTTTCTCAGCAATTTACTTCTTTTTTTCTTTGGTTATTTTCTACATTCTCAGTAATTTCCTTCATTGTTTTCATCATCTGTATTTTAAATTCCCCTTCTGTCATTTCTAACATTTCTTTATAGATGAAATCCTCTGCAGTAGCTACCTCATGGTCTGTTGGGTGGGTTGCTCTGGACTCGTTTTTCATATTGCCAGGATTTTTCTGCTGATTCTTCCTCATAAATATTTTCTTTTATCTGTTTCCTTACCCTAATTTTCCTTTCATTTCCTCTTTCTCTTTAAGTTATTGTGCCTCTGGCCTTAAGTTTCAATGAGTCCTTTTGGTAAATGAATAAAAGGATAAGAAGATTGAAGAGCAAGAAGGGAAAAAAGATTAAAAAAAAAGAACAAAGAGAAGGGAGAGGGGGTGAGTAAAAGGGAATATTGACAAAAATAAGAGAGGCACAGAAAGAGGGAGACAAGAGTAATAAAGGTATACAGTACGTTACTTTGACCTACACCTTAAATACCCCCTACCTCTGGGGGGGGCTGGGGATTCCCTTGAGGTCAGCAGTGCTTTACCAGCCTGAGCAGACACGGTACCCTGCCTCCACCAACCACAGAGGAAAGACAAAAATACTATAAATCAAACCAAAACAAGCAAACAGAAAACCTTACAGGATAAAATTGGGGGAAAAACCCAAATAACAGGGGCAGAAACACTAGCAAAAATGAAGTTCTTATTATTAAAGAAGGCAACAATGGAAAATTATATTTAAAGTAGAAAAGTGAAGGAAAAAAAAAGAAAAATCTAGGGGGAAAATGTTGAAATCAAAAAGCAACATCAAAAACAAAGCAGTATATATGTCTTGCTGAATATTGTCTGGTCAGCAGGTGATCTTCTGGGGTATGAGACGTTAATCACATAGTTTCTACTGTTAACATTTAATTATGCTTGCTTTCTCTCTCTGCAATACATCTCCATAATAGTATTTTTTTTTTTAATTTTAGAAACAGGCTGTCTCTGTCATCTTGACTGGAGTATAGTGCTACAATCAATCACAACTCACTATAACTTTGAGCTCCTGGGCTCAAGTGATCTTACTGGCTCAGCCTCCTGAGGAGCTAGAACTATATGTATGCACTATCATGCCTGGCTAATTTTTAAAACTTTTTGTAGCGATAGGATGGAGGCAGGTCTTGAACTTTTGGCATCAAATAATCTTCCTACTAGCCTCCCATAGTGCTGGGATTAAAGGCATGAGCCACTATGCCTGGCCATCAAATATTTAATTTTTAAAATTTATTTAAAAATTTATTTATTAATTATTAAACGTCTAACTTCATTGCTTTCAAGATTTCCATGGATAATCTAAGTTCTTTCCACTTCTAAATACATTTTAGAATCAGCTTATCAATTTCTACCAAAAAAGTCTGCAAAATTATGATTGAAATTACTTTGAATTTATATATTGATTTAGAAAAAATTTACATACCAATAATATCTATCCAATCTATCCATAGATTGGATACCAATAATATCCAATCTATGAACATAGTAAATGTCTCTATTTATTTAGGTTACCTTTCAATTGTCTCAAGATGTTTCATGGTTTTCAGTATAGAGATCTTACATGACTTTTGTTAGGGATATATATATATATTTTGTGTGTGTGTGGCCACAGCCGGGTTTGAACCCGCCACCTCCAGCATATGGGGCCAGCGCCCTACTCCTTTGTGCCACAGGTGCCGCCTGACTTTTGTTAAGTTTAAACAGTAAGGATCTTTCTTTTTTCTTTAGTGTGGCTAATTAAATTGTTTAAAATTTTATTTTCCAATTATTTGCTCTTGTATGTAAATATATATATATTTATTATATTAAATTTTTTCAGGCCCCTTGCTCTGAGTATATACCTGTATCTGTATATGGGTGTGCTTAGAACAAGAAGCCCCTTGCTCTGAAAAAAAAAAAAAAAAATATATATATATATGTATGTGTGTATATAGGTATGCTTAGAGCAAGGTGCCTGAAAAATGGCTCCCCTGTTTATAACACACCCAACAGGAATTTGGGATCATTGGGATGAAGGGCACAAACCTTGTGGCCTCCCTACAAACAAATTCCATACATGTGAAGAAGAAAAAAAATTGTGAAATATATGTGGTGGCTATATGGCTGATCACTGTATAATTCTTTCAACAGTACTATATGTTTGAAAAATTGCCTAATAAAATATTGGTAAATTAAAAAATACATATATGCTTTGACTTTGTTAAATTCACTTAGTCTTAGTAATAATTTTATAGATTCCTGTAGAATGCTATGTAAACAAGTATGTCATTTGTTATAGAGATAATTTTTATTTTTCCCTTTTAGTCTATGCCTTTTCATTTATTTTGCCTTGCCCCACTACACTGGTGAGGGCCTCCAATACACTGGTGAATAGTGTGCTAAGAGGAGGCAAATATGTATATGTTAAATCAGAGTTCCCCAGACAGCAAGCTAGAAAATTATTCCTCTTTCTGAAGTTTTCTAAAAGGTTGTATAATATGCATGTCATTTCTTACTCTAATCTTTCTTTCTGTCTTTTGACACAGTCTTACTTTGTTACTCTTGGTAGGGTGCTGTGGTATTATAGTTCACAGCAATCTCAAACTCTTCGGCTCAAGTAATCCTCTTGCCTAAGCCTCTCAAGTAGCTGGGACTATAGGTGCTTGCCATAACACCCAGCTATTTTTTCTTTTTTTAGAGATGGGGGTCTTACTCTGGCTCAGGCTGGTCTCAAACTCCTGAACTCAGGCTGTCCACCTGTCTCTGCCTCCCAGAGTGCTAGGACACGGGTGTGAGCCACCATGCCAGGCCCTTACTCAAACATTTCATACAATTTACAAGTGAAACATCTGAACCTGGAACTTTCTTTATGGGAAAGTGTTTGTTTGTTTTTAGGATAGGATTTCACTCTGTTGCCCAGGCTAGAGTTCAGTGGTATGATCATAGCTCATTGTAGCCACAAACTCCTGGTGCAAACAATCTTTCCACCTCAGCCTCCTGAGTAGTAGGATTACAGTCATGCACCACAATGCCTAGCTAATTAAAAAAAACTTTTTTTAGATATGGGGTCTCACTATGTTGCCCAGTCTGATCTACAACTCATGTCCTCAAATGCCTCTCTTACCTTAGCCGCATAAAGAGCTGGGGTTATAGGCAAGAGCCATTGTACCTGGCTAAGAGAAAGTTTTTGATAACAAATTCAACTTCTTTAACAAACAGAATAATCGATGTTTTCTGTTTCATCTTTTAACCATTTTGATAAGTTCTAAATGATTAGAACCTGTGGAGTGTGGACTGTGAATTGGCAGAAACCCTACAACCTGGGAGGTGCATTTATGAAATGACCTCCAACTGCTTCTCTTCCTCCCTTTCTACAACAACAATAGTCTTTTCTCCTTTCTCCCTCTGCCAGAAGTCACATAGCCTGTATACTTTCCTATCTTTTACCTGAAAGCACATAGTCTTCTCTCCCTAAAGTTAATCTTTACCCCATGTACTAAGAGTCATGTCATTAAGAATGTTTATGATAAAACTCCTCAACCTTGTAAGATGAAATCATTCCCACTGGCTTTCCTTACTGATTTGCAACATTGTTAATATAAGCAACCTCCTTCAGGTACTATACAAATAAAGCTGTTCACAGGATTGGGTGCTGGCTGCAGTCCTCAGCTGTACCAGACCTCCTGATCCCACCATCTCTTTGTCTTTTGTGTAATGATCTATGTCTCCTGTGTGACTTATTTTCTCAACTCCTCACCATTCCCACTCTGGTTCATTTACTCTTCACACTGGCTAATGAAAAAAAATTTTTTCTTTAAGAAACAGAGTCTCTTACGTTTTGTTCCACCTTCTCTATTGCTCTTAAAACAGGTATTCTGGGCTTGATGCTTATAGCTTAATGGCTAAAGTGCCAGACCTCCTGATCCCATCTCTTTGTCTTTTGTGTAATCTCACTGTCACCTAGGCTAGAGCACAGTGGTACAATTATAGCTCACTTTAGCCTTGAACTTCTGGCCTCAAGCAATCATCCTTCCTTGGCTTCTCAAAATGCTGAAATTTCAGGTATGAGCCACACCCCACCTGGCTGATAAATTGTATTTTTAAAGTAATCTTATTATTTCATATACGTTGTCAAGTTAGCATAAATTTGTTTATAACATTTTATTATTATCCTTTTAATACTTCTGTTTCTAGTATTGGTAATTTGCACTTTCTTTCTTTTCATTAGTTTGGCTGTAGCTTTATCCATTTTCCCTTTTGTTAATTTTCCCAATTGCTTGTTTTATTTCAATGATTTCTGCTTTTATCTCAACTATTCTTACTTCTACTTTTTTCCTAGTTTTTTTAGGTTGGAATTATTGATATTTAGATCTTTATTCCTTCCTAATATAAGCATTTAAAGCTATAGACTTTCCTCTAGGCATTGTTTTAGCTATGTCTCAGCAACATTATTTAATTTCTAAATTTTTGGTTTTAAATAGATTTAGGGGTACACATGATTTTGGTTAAATGGATGAACAGTATAGTGGTGAATTCTGGGTTTTTAGTGTACTCATCACTCAAATTATGTACATTGTGTTCATGGTAATTTTTCATCTTTCATTCTCCCCTCTTTTGTGTCTTTGTTGTTCATTATACCATCCTGTATTCCCCTTTGTAACCACAGCTTAGCTTTTACTTATAAGTGTGAACATGTGGTATTTGGTTGTCCATTAATGTCTAAATATTTTTATTTTTAAAAGGGTTTTTATTGTTGATTTTTAATTTAACTTTATTGGAATTAGAGAATAAATTGTGTATGATTTTAATTCTTTTAAATTTATTGAGACTTCTTTTAGGGTGCTACACGTGTTCTGTTTTTATTTTTATTTTTATTTTATTTTATTTTTTTGAGACAGAGCCTCAAGCTATCCCCCTGGGTAGAGTGCTGTACCTTCACAGCTCACAGCAACCTCCAACTCCTGGGCTCAAGCAAGTCTCCTGCCTCAGCCTCCCAAGTAGCTGGGACCACAGGTGCCCGCCACAACGCCCAGCTATTTTTTGGTTGCAGCCATCGTTGTTTGGTGGGCCTGGGCTGGATTTGAACCTGCCACCTTAGGTGTATGTGGTTGGCGCCTTAGCCACTTGAGCCACAGGCGCCGAGCCACATGTTCTGTTTTGATGAAGGTATCGTGTACTTATAAATAATACATTTTCTATAGTTTGGGGGCTTAGTGTTTTTAAATATCAATTAGGTCAAAACGGAAGAAAGTGTTAGGGAGATCTTTTGTGTCTTTACTGTTATTTTGTCCAGTTATTCTATAAATTGCTAAGATTAGATTGTTAAATTCTTCTTTAACATTTGATTTAATCATTTAAACTATGATTGTAGAATTGTATACTTCTCCCTTTAATTCTGTCAATTTTGGCTTCATGCATTTTGAAATTCTATTAGGCACATAGACATTTATGATTTTGTCATTCTGATGAATTAACCTTTTTAACATTACAGAATATTACTTTTTACCTGTAATAATACTCTTTGTCAAAGTCTACTTAATCTGGCATTGATAAAGCTACTATAGACTTCTATATTTACTATTGCATGATATATCTTTTTCCATTCAAATACTTTATATCTGTCTGTATCTTTACATTTAAGGTGCTTTTCTTGTAGACAGTGTATGGTTGAGAATTGTATTTTTATCCATTCTGACAATCTTTGTCTTTTAATTGGCATGTTTAGGCCAGTACTGACCAACAGAACTTTCTGCAGTCATAGAAATGTTCTATATTTGTGCTGTACAATACTGCCATTAGCCACAAGTAACAACTGAGCAATAGCAATTGAACTAGTGTGACTGAGGAACTGAAGTTTTAATGTTAACTTCTGTTACTTTAAAGTTAATTTAGATAGCCGTATGTGGCTAGTAGCTACAATTTTTGATTGTGCAGGTTGAGACCGTTAACATTTAATATAATTTTTATTATGGTTGGATTTAGGTCTATTTGTCCCCCACTTCACCTTCCTTTCTCTTTCCTTCCCATGATAGCTCCTTGCTCTGTTACACAGGCTGCAGTACAGTGGCCTCATCATAACTTAACTGCAGCTTCAAATTCCTGGGTTTAAGTGATCCTTCCACTTTAGTCTTCTGAATAGTTGGGACTGCAGATGTGCATCACTACACTTGGTTAATTTTTTTTTTTTGGTAGGGTCTTGCTTGTTGCCTGGGCTGATCTCAAACTCCTGGCCTCAAGCAATCAGACTACCTCAGCTAAGGATTACGGGTGTGAGCCACTGTGCCCAGGCCAGCTATTTGTTTTCTTTTTGCCCCTCTGTTTTTTATTCCTCTGGTCCTCTTTCTTATCTTTTTGTGGTTTTAAAAATTATTTGAATATTTTTCTAGATTGCCAGTTTAATTTTCATTAGCTTTATAGCTGTATCTCTATGCATTATTCTTTTTTAGTGTTTATCTAGATATTATAATATGTATCCCTAGCTTTGAAGTCTTCTTTGAGTTAATATTGTACCACTTCATTTAAATATAGAAACCTGAAACTGTACATATGTTATAAACACCACAGTAAAATTTTATAATTTTTGCTTTAGTCATTTTTATTTTAAAGAAGAAAAAAATACAATATTTTATATTTATAAACTTACCTACCATTGTATTAAAGTGCCCAGGTTACAAATAAGATAGGTTCTTTAGGTTTGTTCTTGAATCTGTATGTAAGTTGGAACAGGTATATTACCTGTAATAGCCTCTGTTTGTAAGTGCAAGTTGTACATTAATCATATGTTTGTAACCTGAGGACTGCCTGTATGTTATTTATTTCATCCTGAAGTTCATGTTTTATGTAGTATCATTTCTTCTCAGCCTAAAGCATTTCTCTTAATTTCTCGTTGTATAAGTCTATTAGCAATAACTTGTCTTAGGTTCCACTTATCTGAGAATGTCCTTATTTTACCTTCATTCTTAAAGGATATTTCACTGAAAATAGATCTAGGTTGATAGGTTTTGTTTTTACAGCCTTTCAATTATGTTCTAATGTTTTTTGACCTCCATTGTTTGTGATGAGAGGTCAATGATCAAAAATT